GTTCGATCCCCCAGCACCACATGCCAGCCAGCCCCACCCCCTGGTGGGCTGAGCTGGCCACACACAGACACACACACACACTCTAAATAAATAAATGTTAAAAATTAAAAATTAAAAAAAAATAAGAGGTCAGGCATGGAGGCGCACACCTGTAATCACAGCACTCAGGGAGGCTGATGCAGGAGAATCATTCTGAGTTTGAGACAGCCTGGGTTACAAAGTGAGCACAAGGCCAGCCTGAATGACATAGTGAGATGCTGTCTCAAAAAGACAATAAATAAATAAAAATTTTAAAGATATATTATTCCCATTCTTTCTGATGAAGAAACTCACTTGCAAATGATTCAGAAGAGTCCCCATATTTAAATGTAAGGAATTATATAGACTTTGACAAGCTGATCAAAGCAATTGGGTGAGACCATAGAGCCAATAAACCCAAAAACATTGAGTAGTTGAGTGAACAAACTTACTAAGTTATATAGAAACAACAGCCCTTTGCCATGTACAAGTCAATTTCATGTGTCTTTTTCAGGTACAGATATTATAGTGAAGGATGTACCAGGTATTGAATACAAAAATTTTTTTTTTTAATGTGCACACGTCTCACATCCTGAGGGGTCACACAGCTTCCCTTCCTCCTTTCTTTTCTTTACTTTCTTTGTTTTAGCATTGCCATTCAAAGGCAGTACTAGGAACAGATGATAAAGGCTAACCAATGAAACTGCCACTGTTAGATCTAACTCACAGAATTATAAGGATCTCAGAATTTGAATAAAGAAGGCCACATAGATAGCTCAGTAGAATAAGTGCTTGCTTAGCAAATACAAGGTTCTGAGTTCAATCCCTGGTTCTGCAAAAAAAAAAAAAAAAAAAAAATTGAATAAAGATAGTGTTATAAGGTTACAACTCTATTGTGAACTTAGTTGTCTTAAAAGATGTAAAATTATCCTTCTGGGGCTGGGGATATAGCTCAGTGGCATAGGCACCTACCTGGCAAATGCAGGGTCATGAGTTCAATTCCCAATGTGAAATTAATTAATTAACTAATTAATTTGTCCTTTATGCTGGGACTAAAACAGTAATTCTACTTCCATGGAGTCACTTTATTTCCCCCAAAGACTTGTCTGGTTACTCACCAAACAAGTTTTTGTTGCTCTTTTGGGTTTTGGGTTTTTTTTTGTATTTTGTTTATTTTTTTGTCTTTTTGAGACATGGTCTTATTATGCAGGTCTTGAACTCTCAATGTTCCTCCTGCCTCAGCCTCCCAAGTGCTGGGATTACAGGCATGTGCCACCATGCCAAACTTCACTGAGCAAGTATTTCTTTTTCTTCCGCTCCCCCCCCCCAACCAGGGATTGAACTCAGGCCCTTGCACTTGCCAGGGAAGTACTTAATCTACTGAGCTATCTCCCCGGCCCCAAGTAGTTCTTGAATGTGTCCAAGGGAAACAAAAGGAAGAGTACACAGATAGTCTTGATTCATGATTGATCTCTGGAGGAAAGATTTTCATATAAGGGGGAGAAACAACAAAAAGGGTACTCAACTGAAAATGAGACTGGAGTTAGGGATACACAAGTATGCAGGCCTCCCTTCTATTACACCACTGATGCCAGCAACCGCAACCCTCAACTCAGCCTGAGAGTCAACAGCTATTACTAAGGGTTACATTTTCTTTCACTTCTGGTCATGCCCTTCAAAGATTTGGGGTAGGGTGAGGGTGGTGGCACACAGCTACCAGCTCTGGGGAGGTCAAGGCAGGAGAATCGCTGCCAGTTGAAGAACAGCCTGGGCTATCTAGTGAACTGCAAGATCAACTTCAACAATATAATGAGACCCAGTCAAAAAAGAACAAAAGGATAGGATTAAAGCACCTGCTTAGTCAGATGCAGGGATCGGGTTGCATCCCCCTTCATTGCCATGTGGGCCCCGCCCCCTCCCCCCTCCATTGAGACAATTGAGACTGGCCTGGTGGTATGTGCCTATAATCCAAGCACTTGGGAGGCTGAAAACAGGAGGATCACTGCAAGTCCAATCTGTGTAGTGAGACCCTATAGACCATGTATTAAATACAATCAATCAATAAATAAATAAATAAATAAAATTGGCATGACAGCACATACCTGTATTGCAGCACTTGGGAGTCTGCAGCAGGAAGATCATGAGTTTGAGGACATCTTGCATGACACAGCAAAACCCTGCCTCAGATAAACCAAAACACCATAGGTGCTAGTACCCACCTGATGTCCCAGCGCTCCAAGAGCTGAGGTAGGAGGACCTCAAATTCAGGCCCAACCACAGCAATTTAGAGACTTAGACACTGCCTCAAAATTTAAAAATAAGAGGGGGAAAAGGGGCCAGGGATGTAGCACAGAGTGGAGGTCCTGGGCTCTAGCCATAGCACAGGAAAAAAAAAAAAAGTGCATTTTATTGTATGTCATTACTCTGTAAATACATCCACCTGGGTGTGATAGTACACACCCATCATTGCAGGGCTTTGGGAGACTTAGGCTGGAAGACTGCAAACTCAAGCCCAGTCTGGGCAATTTAGCAGTGTAGTAAGAACACTTATCAAAGTAAAAAGGGGAAAAAAAAGGAGGGGGTGGGCAAGGGTGTAGCTTGGGGTGAATCAAGGTTCAATCCCAGTACCTCACTTTCAAGGTATAAAGATGATCCTGCACGCAGTCCACAGAGCCTGCCAGGGTTGGCCTGGCCTGCCTTCAGTCTTCTGCTCTTCCCCAAGCTCTGGGCCCCATGTGCTTGCCAGACCCCCTGTGCCCCCACCAACCCAGGCACACCCAGTTGCCAGAGCAAGGTGTGTCCCCCACTCCGCCCTCCTCTCCCTTCCACTCAGCTCCTACACATATGGCTTTAACCGCATGACCTTGTGCGACCTCTCCGGATCACCCCTCCTCCCAGTCTCTGTTTGGTTGCTCTGATCTAGTCTCTGGAATTTTAACCCTTTCCCTGGGACCCTTTCCCTGCCATTTCCCTCATCCTGTAATTACCCCCTTGGGTGTGGAATTATCTAATCAAATATGCTTCTCCCACTAACTTTGTGCTCCACTGTCTCGACTGGGGGACAGCATCTGGATTTGCTTACCTGGGTACCCCCAGAACCCACCTGTAACACAGTAGGTATTTACTAAACGTATTGTTTGTTGGAGTTTGGGGGGTGGGCTGGGGCGATGATCGAAATCTCCAATCCTAAATATGTTTGGGCATCCTAAAGGCAAACAGTGGCTATCAGT